TTTAATATAGTAATATATAGTAATTTAGTAATGTATAGCGAATTCATTCATAATTTTAATCTAACTCAGTGTTTCCCAAACGTTTTAAGTGTTGGCTCCCTTAAAAAAATCCCCCATAAAAACTAAATTATATATATAAAATATATATATATATATATTTATATATATATAATATATATATTTATATATATAAAATATATATATATATATTTATATATATATATATATTTTTGCGTGTGTGCATGCGTTTGTGTGTGTGTTTTTGTGTGTGTGTGCGTACGTACATATATAATATAAAACTTTGATGATAAATGTGATTTTGTGTACTTTGTATACAATGTATACATATTTTATGTTAATATTTGAAGTGAAAATTGCTGTAAAAGTACACACATACGTATAATTGTATATATTATGCCATAGACATATGATATATATATATATATATATATATACACATATAGATTGTATAATATATCACTTTAGTATAGTTAGTATATTTTGTATGCGTGTGTGTGTTGGTTATGATAACGTGTGATTGATAGCCGGGAATTTGTCGCATACTCTATGTGCTGTTGGGACTTGATAAGGCTGTTGTTGTTGTTGATGTTGTCATTTGTTGTTGTTGATTTTGTTGTTGTCAATTGTTATTGGTGTTGTTTTTGTTGTTGTTGATAATGTCATTTTTTATTGTCATTGCTCTTGTTTTTGTTGCTGTTGTTGTCATATAACATTAATATTGTTGTTTTTGTTATTGTTCTTATTAATGTTATTTTTAATGCCATTAATGTTGTTGCAGTTGTTATTGTTATTGATGTAATTTGTTACTGCTATTGTTGTTGTAGTTTTAATTTGTTGTTGTTGTTATTGTTAATGACGTATATTTTTAGTTGTTGTTATTGAATGCAGTTACCATTTTGTATTTGCTTTCATGTTTTTGACTATTACTGAGGTAGTAATTCTCAGTGATTTTTGTGTTTGATTCTTATTTTGTTGTTGTTGTTGTTGCTGTCAACAGACATGTTGTTGTTGTTGTTTTCAGCCATCGATTTGTAATAAGTTTTTGTTGTTGTTCTGTTGACCTGTTTTTTAGTTGTTGCCGTTGTTTATTTGATATTTTGTTTTTTTGTTTGTGATGTTGATGATGACGACGACGACGATGGTGATGGAAAATCTGGCTGCTTACAAAAATAAAAATGATAACATGGTAATATTGATGATAATAATAATTGTTGACGACGATGATAAAATTGGTGATGTGATAGCAATGCATTTGACGGTTATATATAAAATTGAGAAATTCGATTTTATATTTATTTCATTTTAATAAATACCATTGTCCTAATTATCATGAATTATTTTGAAATATAAAAAGACACAAAACTAAAAAAAAATACAATTAATATCTTTGATTTTCACTTCAGGATGGCTACAGCGATTGTTCTGCTTTGGAAAAAGTGAGTTGGATAAAAAAAATGCTGCATCACATTCATCACCATGACGTCACACATACGTCACGATGCAGTTTTTTTTTCGTTTATCACTCACTACATCATTCGTCAATGTCATCATCTTTACAGCCGGTCATCATCGTTATTTATAATGCTAGGGATAGTTTTGTTTTATTTTGCGCTGAAATTAATTGTCGTTTTGTTTTTGTTTTTTTTTGTTTTATTATTTTTTTATTATTATTTAGTTAGTTGGTTCACATTCTTCTTCTTTTTATTATTATTGTCGTTATTCTTGTTGACATTTTCAAAATTGTTGACCATTTTTTTAAAGTTAGTTTGTAGCTTTAACGACAGCCTTAACAGCTATTAAAACAACCACAGTAGTCACAATCATTATCTTCTTCCTCTTTTTCGTCGTCATTACTACCATCATCGTCGTCATCATCATTACCATCATCTTCGTCATCGTCGTCATCATCGTCTTCATGATTTGCAGATAACAAAGACTAAAAAGATATTCATTGGCGGACTTTCCCTGACTACAAGCGTTGATGACGTCAAAGCATACTTCTCCCAATATGGACAGGTTTGTTAGTTTGTTTCTTCTTTTCATAAACGTCATCTTCGTCATCATCATTTTTGGCTTCTTTTGGTCATCATTATCTTCGAGCTTTTTTTTTCAAACCACTCCGATATATACTTTCCAAACGATTCTGCATCATTAGTTCCATCTACTCAATTCATCACTTCATCGTTGCACATACGCATTGTTTTATATTTTTACCACTATCAATTATTCATAATTTATTTCAGTTTTGGCCCTCATCATCACTACCACAACATGTAATTAAACTATTTTCTTAATCATACAATCATTTTGTGGTCAGTAACTGCATCATTAAAAGTTTTCAAGACATTTTGAGCTTTTATATTTAATGAAAACAGATGTATATTTTGTGTGTTTATCGTCGTCATCGTCATCAACATCATCATCATAATCATCATAATCATCATCATCATGATCATCGTCATCATCATCTTCCTCATCGTCATCATCATCATCATCATCGTCATCATCATCTTCCTCATCGTCATCATCATCTTCCTCATCGTCATCATCATCTTCCTCATCGTCATCATCATCTTCCTCATCGTCATCATCATCTTCCTCATCGTCATCATCATCTTCCTCATCGTCATCATCATCATCACCAGCCTCATCGTCCTTACTTTCATAGTCATCATCAACATCGTCGTCATCATTTTATTTCATTGATCTGTGGTGTTTATGCAGCGATAGATGTTCCCATGTACAATGGCCCATCATTTTTCATCTTTTCATTCATCTTTCCATCTATTTTTTCATCCATTCATCCATCCATCTTTCCATTCATCTTTACATCAATTTTTCATTCATCCATCTTTTCATCTCTCCATCCATCTTTTTATATCTCAATCTCTCTCTCTAATCATCTATCTACAGCCTATCCTTTTTTCTACCCTGTCTCTTTATTATTTATTGACTCCATCTAATCCAATTTGTATGTGCATGTGTATGATCTATGAATAAATATATATGTAACAAAATACTGAAACGTCCTTTTTTTTAAATTTTTTTTTACTAATTTAAATTTAATTTGCTCGTTAAGAAAAAATTCCATTCATTCTATTTAATACTTTGAAAAAGCAGATTTATTTTGAAATAACGACGAAACTGTTGCATGTCTACTCGCCTATTTTGTCAAAAAAATCGTTGTTGAATCACTTCTGCAAAAATTATAACGCATTGATGGTCAGTTTTAGTTTTTAGGGGAACTTTTGGAAATCTACGCGAGTCTTCATGGTTTGTAAAACTTTTAAGCTTTGCAATAACTTAACTCGAGTCAAAAATCTTATAGTCTAATCTCTGATCAACGATGAAAAACTCTTTCTCCTTTCTCTCCCTCTCCTTTTTCTCTTTCTTTCTTTTTTTTCTATCTCTCTCTCTCTTTCCTATCTCTCTCTCTCTCTTTCTCTCTCTCTCTCTCTCTCTCTCTTTCTCTTTCTCTCTCTCTCTGTCTGTTTCCTGTTTCTATCTTATTTTTTAATGTTTGTTTGTGTATTTCTTTTCCTCTTTCTCTCTTTTTGCTTTGTATCTTCCTCCTCTTCAGTTTTCATTTTTATTTGCACATTTTAAAATTTTTAAAATTTGCAGATAACAAAGACTAAAAAAAAAGATTGTGCGTAATACCCCAAAGCAAATAAATATACAACCACCACATATGGTATATGTATGTATGTATAATATGGATAGATATAAGCGTGCAGACTACAGTTGGAGCAAAAGTTATGCATCTGCCAATGATATTTTGACGACGAAAATAACAAAAACCCGAAAATAATATAAAGAAATGTCTCAAGAAAGAATGGCCGTACCGATGCTGGCTGGCAGGCGAAATCATTCAGGAAATATTGGGAAAATATTGAAACGCAAATGAATCATATTCATTGCTTTCTACGTAATGTGATTATGTAACGTGATTACGAAGATGATGATTGTATGTGACATGATAACGGGCTATAAAGATGATTATAAAGATGATTATGAAGATGATTATAAAGATGATTATGAAGATGATTATGAAGATGATTATGAAGATGATTATGAAGATTATTATGAAGATGATTATGAAGATGATTATGAAGATGATTACGAAGATGATTGTAAAGATGATTTGGTTGATTATTACGGTGATAATATTTCAAAAATGATGTGGCCTACATCGTAAATTATACTAATTTCATAACTGAAATTATAATTTTTTTGGAAAACGAAAGATTGGAGACACTAAATTGTTCAACTCAAGAATTTATTTTCCATATTATTATATATGTTTCTATTTTTTATTTCTATTTGTTTTTATTTCTATTTATTTCTATATCATCTGAAAATATTAAGTTGTACATTTTTTCAATCGAGGTAATGTCACACCTCTGACGAGCCATGTTTATTCTTGCCGGAATCACCCCTAAACTGATAGAAGTCGCATGGGTTTGGTGATTAATATAGTTGACGAAAAATTTTTTTCTCGGATCACGTGATTTTTCTCTTTTATTTTTGGAATTTCGCTAAACAGCTTTGTTCTCCGCTCAAATCATCTCTCTTCATCCTTCCAGTTATTTCTTTTTCCAGACCATCCTTTATGTTGTTCTTTCAATGTTTACTTGTCGGCTGACTGGTGCTTCTTATGATTCGGTGACAATATTTCATGAATATTACATTGACGTATTTTTTTTATAACAGATCATATATTTTACAAAATTCAAACAGAACGTACTATGGAGCATAAAATTAACATAAAGTTAACATATCGTTATTATTCATAATTGATTAGGACCAGCCACATTAATCATAAACTGGACGTCTTATTGTCGCATTATTCATCACAGTCCTTGTCGTTTTTCTAATCATCATCATCATCGTAATCATCGTCATCAACGTCGTCATCATCACCATCGTCGTCGTCGTCATCATTAACATCGTCCTCCTCATTATCATCACAAACATGATTACGATTATCATCATCATCAAGATTATCATCATCACTGCCATCATTATCATAACCACCGAATTAATCATTACCATCACCAACACCGTTGTCGTCTTCACCATCACCATCATCATCTTCATCATCACCATTTTAGTGATAATAAACAGCTTTATCACCGGCATTATTATTTCGATTATATTGAAGATCTATATCTACTTTGACGTTATCGGCATAATTATCAGCGCTATTTTCCTTGTTCGTCGTCATCTTTTGCAGCACCACAACCCCTTCCACGTTATCATTTCAACCATATCATCATGTTGATCAATTCTCTTATTATTATTAGTAAGTCTTCATTCTCATTCTTATATTATTATTATTATTATTACAAACATCATTATAGTCGAAGCAGTTTCATCATCATATCATCATCATCATCATCATCATCATCATCATCATCATCATCGTCGTCATCGTTTTAATCACTACCACCACCATCATCATCGTCATCATCATCGTCGTCGTCGTCGTGATCATCATCATCATCATTATCACATAGACCAAGGATCATTATCATGAGCAATGTGCAAACGTCATCAATGTAAACATGGCCGCCAATGACAATAATAACCAGACATTTGAAATATGAATCGATAGTTACGAAACGATAGGAATGACGCAAACAGAGATGGGCGATAAAAAAATAATGATGAAGCGCTTCATATTTTTGCACGCTTGTCACGTCTCGTCAAAATTTTTTCATGAAAAAATTGGAAATTGTTAGCCGATGCGAAAGAAAAAAAATTGAAACTTTATTTTTCTTCATTTGTTTTTTTGCAATTTTTTGAGATTTATTCCTTCCTTATACGTCTGTTGAACATCAACACGAAATGACCCTTGCACAGATATACGTGTGTTTTTTCGGGATAAATTTGTTTTTGCTTTTTTATTTTTCTATATTTATTGTTTTATTTTTTAAAATTATCTGGTAATTTGATTACTTATTTGTTAATTTTACTGACATTCATTCAAATAACAAAGAAGGTACATATTATACGAACATATACAATCAAATAGAATCATTTAAAAAAAACGAGAAACGATGCAACAGAACTTGAGAACACTTACAGCCACAAACAGCCACAAACAACCGCACACAACCACACACAACTACACACAACCGCACACAACCACACACAACTACACACAACCACAGACAACTACATACAAACAAACACAACTATACCCCATGCTAAACAATCATGTGGCGCCTGTCATGTTTATAATTGAAATTCTCCACAAAATGCTATCTTGCTTTTAATGAAATGTTTAAAAAACGTGATGATAAATAATACTTTTAAAAAATTTCATGCCAAAATTTCAAAATTATTTTCATTTAATAGAAATATTATTATTATTATTTATTAAACAAATTATGATTAAAAAACAAAAATTAGTTTATTTAAACCAGGCGGCTTCAAACAAACAATCCCCAATAAAATTTTAACCATTGAGCAAATCACCTACAACTATGAAATCAAATACAATCAAAGCAAGTAAGAACAGCAGTTGCAGTTTAACATCGCACGCAGAAGAATTCGAAAAAAGTCACAACAACTGTAATAACACTGATAAGAATAAAAAAAATAATATAATAAATAATAATAATAATATGAAAATGAATAACAATAATAATTATAATATGAATAGCACTAATATTTCAGCGGATGCCTACTTGATCTAAGATACCGGATTTTTTCAGCTTTTGTGCTCATTTTGCAATTTTTTGACTTGTCTTATTATTTTTATTGTTATTATTACTATTATTATTTATTATTATTATTACTATTGTAACTTTTTATCGTTAATGTTGTTCTTTGCAGTATTTTAGCTTCCATTAATATTACTTATTATCAGTTGTAATTGCCTTTGTTATTTTGGTGTAATTATTGTTATCATAGTATTATTATCATTATCATTATTATTATTAATATTATTATTATTATTATTATTATTATTATTATGGTCTTCTTCGTGTTGCTGGGATGGTTTTGTT